CCTAAACCCTAAACCCTATGATACCATAACATACCCCTCCAAAGGGACCCAACTCTGCAGAACGCGGACATTCAGGGATGGTGCTTCGGCGGGGTTTAGGGGTTTAGGGGTTTAGGGTTTTTGTAGGGGTTTAGGGGTTTAGGGGTTTAGGGTTTGAGGGGTTTAGGGGGTTAAGGGGGTTTGGGGGTTGAGGGTTCATGGGGTTTAGGGGGTTTAGGGGTTTACGGCTGGGCGGTTTAGCCGTTTAGGGTGTAGGGTTTCATTCCGCGCGCCGCTATGTACTTGGAGGGTCTGCGATCATTACAACCTAGAAGCCTTGCATCACCTGAGAGCCCTTAGATCCTAGAATCCAGTCCAGTAGGTTTGGGAGAACAGTAGAACTGTATAGTTGTAAGCCGGTTACGTTCCACACGTCTCCTTAAAAGACTTCTATGTGGCCTGTAGCCGCAAGTAAGAGTAGATTGTAACAATTGTAACAGCCCTCCTCTCCTGACAGATGACTCTAAAAAGCCAGAGCAGCAGGTCGACCAAAATGCGGTATCGGTACGAGGTTTCCTAACGACAAAGATTAGCACTTTTTGAAGTTCCACGAGCATGTGTTATAAATTCTGTGGGTCAATAGAGCCCAAGAAGCAAAGGTACCCATATAGTAGGTCCTTGGGTTATAGATAGTATAAATTTATATAGGGACTTAAGGACAGGAACCCAATATATAGGTAACTGGGCTTCTTAAACCCTAAACCCTAAGCTCTAAACCCTAAACCCTAAAGCGCTGGCTCCTGGGATGCTCACATATTATGTGGATGCATGGCCCGCCCCATGCTGGTCTCATTCAGGGGAGTGAAGGAGGAACCCTGGGGGTGCTAGGGGAGCCCATGGACATCTAGCCCCCCTTATGTAGATTAAATATTGCTTTGGGTATATGATAATAAGATCCCCATATACCCCATATTCTATCTACTTAAGGGGGACTATAAGCGGTACCTAGAGTGAAGCAGCGGCCAGAGTTGGGCGAAAGAGTTATCCTTTCTTGCGGGGTGTAAACCTCATGGGCGGCGGCTGGGGGAACAACCCCAAAACGGACCATAACTTTGAGACATACGCCGCAAATGATGCGCTAAGGGTCCAAAGACCCAAATAATAGGGCTTTGAGGCCCAAATACTATAATATTACAAGTATTTGGACCCTAACACGCCATTACTTGGGTCCCTGGATCCTTAGGGATAGTCTGACCCCCCCTAAACCCTAAACCCTCCCAAACCCCTAAACCAAACCCTAATCCCTAAACCCTAGACCTAATCCCTACACCC